TTGCCCTCAGATTACCCACTAATTCAATGCAATTATTATTATTCTCAATGCTTATTACAAATTGAGATTTACTTTTTACGAGTTAAATGTTGTGTTAGTTTTTATTTGCTAATTAGTGTAAAGTTTTGGTAGAAATTATAATGAATACATCAAAATGTTTACTTAAAAATTGGTTAATTATTTCATATAAATTTTGTACATAAACTGTTTGCTTTGCTTTTATAATAAGGTTAATTTATCATAGTCTTAAATACAATTGTAATAATTTTATTGTATTATTTTAGTCTTTTTATATTTGTATTAATAAATTAACAGTAATAATAGGATAATTAAATGAGTATTCATTTGATAGTTTGCAAACTTATATAGTATTTGATAAGCATTTCTATTTATAAGACAAATAATTACACAATCAATAGTTTGAAGAAAATTAAAAACAAAATATAAAAATAAGAAACAGAATCTAAAAATTTTAAATAAATTCTTGTGGTTTAATCTTCAGTGGTGTGTCCGCCACCGCCACTGCCATTACCCACGGGATCAGGTATTGTACTCTTGCGGTCTTTGTTAGCTCCGGGAACGAACTCCTCAGTTGACGCGCGACCGGCTTTGATGGACGACAGCTCCCGATCACTAATGGAGTCCTCCTCAACAGATATGTCTCCGGGAACTCTCACTCGTGTCCGACCCGTTTGCACACTCTTTTGCTGTCCAACTGTTTTTGGGCCCGTTTTTTGACCAGATTTTTGGGCACAGTTTTCGAGATACCATTTCTTGATTTGCGACCGAAACACGTATGCGATTATCATTAAGAGGATGACTGCCATAATCCCTAATATACTACAGATTACGATCGCGGGGTCTGTGTTTGTCATTTATGGGTCCGATCTGTTGTATGTATTGTTATTTTGCGGTTTAATTCAATTAGTGATACAAAACCACAATTTAAAACAAGAATTTAAGACACAAAATACAGATAGTATTTGTTCACAGATTTAAATCAAATTTTATTTATTTATAAGTTTTACAACTCTTTCATCAAATGTTTGACTCAAATATAAATAACTGTCTGTTATTTCTTGTAATGGTTTTCAAACTGAAAATAATTGAAATTTGATTTACATATTCACGAGATTGTTAACAGATTATTGTTGTTTTAAAGATTTATAATTGAAATACAAGCAATCAAATAGTACCAGGTATTTCATTTTCTGTTTTAATTGTTGTACATTATACTTGTAATCATAAATACATATTTTTAAATTGAGTATTATTTATAAACTTTATAAGCTATAAATTAATGAACAAAAATGAATTTTAATTTAACTTTCTAAAATGCTACACAAATATTTTGTTGTTAATAAAGTGATATTTTAAATTATAGTCATATAATTTATTAATTTTATATTTAAATAATTACTTATACAGTATTTGTTTTCGCTCTACAAATAATTTAAAATTAAATCATTTAATATAATTTTTATATAAAAAACAGTGTAATAGAGATGTCATTATAATTAATTTGCATAATTCAACATTAACTCAGAATTTGTTATTTTTAGGTAAAAACTATAAAAGTTGTCCAATTATTAAAATTATTAAATTACTTTAATATTGCACTAAAATTATAGTGAAAAATAACATCAAAGAGAGAGAGAGAGAGAGAGAGAGAGAAATATAATTATATTTCGTTTCAATAACTGTTGGCACGAAATGTAACATAAATTGAATCAAGAATTTTAGGCAATAATACAAAGAAAAGAGAAATAATAAAGAATGAGAAAAATGAGAGACCAATGAAATGAAATGATTGACAAACAAAAACATAAGATTTGCTATTTTTCCAAATCAAAATCTTTGCCAACAAAAACTACTATAGAGTACAATATAACCGTATATTATGGGCAATGTTTGTGTCATGTATTGTGTGTTTGCAATACTGACCGGAATGTCGTTATTCTTGATATAATCGAGGGTTTTGTTGGTGTGTTTGGCGTCAAACTTGTCTCCCTTTCCACTCTTCACGTATATGCATAAGTGCTGTCAATGCAAGTCATAACACAATTAGTTTACAGCGTTTATTACAATACAAACTATTGTTTTTAATTAAAAATACAAAAACTAATATAAATTATATTGCGCTAAAATGTGCTAAAAATGTACCATAAAAAATGTATAGCCAATTATGGGGATGAACTGAAATGGATCTTTGGTCACGTGTCTAATTGCGCCCAATTTACCCAATTTGGTGACCAAATACTCGACGTTGACGAAGTCGACAGCGCACTGATGGTTACATAAGCCCAATATGTTGTCTGGCGTTGATTTCGCAACTTTTTCAAAATCGCCATAAACTCTGATCTAAATTAAAACCATAGAATATATTTGCCATATATTTATGACTAGAAAATGCATGATTTAATTGAAAACCTTAGTTTTGGCGTAGAAATCGATATAGAAGAGCATAACGTAATGACAATAGGAATATATTTTATCATTAAAGGTATTGTATAACTTGTTTGAGAAAATTTTAATAAATAATTGATTCATAATAACGCAAAAATTTAAGACAGGAAAGAAAATCAAAAAGCATAGCATTATAATGATCGTGATCACTTTCCTTAGATTCCAATACAACAAGCTGAAAATTTTGTTAAACATTGTGTTTGAAATGCAATGTTTACTACAAAATAAAATGCATTTCAAACGAGTTAAAACATGGAGAAGAAAAATATATTAATTTCATGTAATGTTTTTCGTAAAATTGCATTCAATATCCAACAGTCCTTATGGTTTATGCGATACATATTAGTTCCGGTGTGTGTTTGATATCAAACTTAACGTACATTTGAGAAATAAGTTTACCTTTAAATAACTTAATGCTATGAGAAATAAACATTCACTACATATATATTGCACAGAATGTGAACATCAAATGGCTTTCAAAACTGATTTTCAAGTGAATAAATAAGAATATTCAAAGAATTTATGTTAAAAGTAGAAAATTCTTGTAAAAAGTTATTTAATATTGAATACAATAATCAGATCTAAAACGTTAGAAACGATTTGGAAAGGCATTCAAATATTATATAAAATGTTAGTTAAAGTTATGCCCAAAATATTTCTCCAATGTTTTTATATTTTTCGTTACATTTGATATAATAAAGACATTTTAGATGTAAGTCTTTATTCATTAAGAATTTATAGTATTTTCGTTAGAAGTGAACACAAGTTATATAATTAGTGACAAAAATATGAAAACTCGAGTTATTTTCTAATTCTAATGCAATTTAAATGTCTTACCGCTTGAAATTCTTGGTGTTCTGTAATTAATTACAAAATTGTGTTAATCCTAACTTCTCGTAAATGAATTAAAATGAGAATAATTATATTGTGAATACATATACAGTACACGACTGTAAAACTACCCCCTGTTTGATAAATAACAAGAATTTCCTATTAAACCGTAATGAAACCCTGGGATTCATTTTCTATGAAGTTATTTACATTTTGAACGTTTCATTTTTCCATGATGATAAAAAACACAAACTTTATTAACATATTTGCTTTTCATTCAATAATATATTACATATTATATTAAATATGTGTAGAATTTATGCATAAAATGTCGATTAGGAGTGAAAGGCATTTACTATATATTATTGATATAATACTTTTAGCAACCGATAAGTTATAGAGATATCAAACGAAAACTTAATGTTAGAAATTATAATGTTTTTGTGTGTTTCGACTCCAGACTAATACAGATAAAGCGTTTCACCAATAATTTAGTGTAACATTAATATTACACCGACTTATTTGCATCAGAAAATCATTTGTTAGATTAAAGGAAAGGGGAGAGAGAGTGGAGTGATGAGGAGAGAGAGAGAGAGAGAGAGAGAGAGATTACTAATATAATTTCAAGTTTGTATTCTTTGTATTTCAAGCTTTTATAATAACATTGTTGTAATTAAATT